GTTTGTACCTATGGCAGAGCAAATAGATACAAATTAAATAAAGCTACACTTAATTTGAAAAAACAATTAAGGTCTCTCAAAGAACTTTAAGAATATTAGACCTGTGGTACTCTTGCATTTCCCCCCTCTACAAATACTCAGCTATTCAGTCCATTTAAATAAATATTCACAAGACTCAACATTTTAACTGTTATCCTATACATGCAATAGGAACAGACTGTTGCAACTAATCAATAAACAAAGAGTACATGATAAATATTTTTATTTTTAAACACTGAATTGTACATCTTTCATATAAAAGATGAAATTTTAGCCTGTTTTTTTAAAAAATAATTATATTTGCTAATATTATCTTTACATTTTTTACAGAAGCCAATGTTCTCTAAATCTGCAACTTCATTCCATAGCTTTTACAGAATCATAAACCTTTGAATAAATTTCCAGTATCCTTTGAAAAATAAAAAAATTCATAGAAGATATTTTTATTTAAAACTTAAACAGGTTACAGTATAACTGCCCAACCCTTCAGCTACCACTGAGTACTTCTGCAGTACGGAGAAACCAACAAGTTGGAGTAATTAATTCTCTGTATTTACTTTAATCAAAAAGAGGTTTTTCGTAGTGAGAACAAATAATCTTTCATTTGTTGCCTGAAAGCCTAAAATAGGATCATTGGTTTCTAGGCTTGCTACTTGCTGCTTAGCAACCTGCCCCACTTGTCTGCCTTCCTTTCTGTTGTAAAGTACAGTGGACATGGGAGTAGGTTGACGATAGATGAAGACACGACGAAGGCACTCACAAAGGGCTGCATAGGAGTAATTTGGAGCACAGGCAAAAAATTTTTTGTCTCTCTTTGATGCTTGGACGTAGCCTGCCGAGAAATATAAAACAAAAGAAAAACTATATATTAAACAGAAGGGGGAAAATTCTGAGTTAACACTTAATATTTTGAAATTTTTATTATAAATTAGCACACCTAAGTAAGATATATATACCATAAATATCCAAGAATGGCTCAATTCTGAATCATTAATTATTAGTTATACTCACTCTCTCCCAACTAGTGCAAAAATGCAATTTTAATTCCTATGGAACAAATAGATAGGGTTTAATGTCTTCAATAAAAGCACAGCATATTTCCATTAAATTTCCATGAATAATTAAAACACTAAAAATCTAAAATCCATGCCAAAATATCTTTAAATGCCAATTTAATATCTAGGTTTACAAATCACTATTATGGTCTCATCAGATAAATGAGAAAAGATTGTAGGATCATAACCTTATTTCAGAAATCTGTTAATAATACAGGACTAAAGTCCTATTCATAATGTATCTCTGAAGGCACTAATATTCACAATATATTCTTTTATTATCCCTATGATGTTCATGGTATTTTAATACACCTATACCAACACTGTAACAGGGTTATACTTCAGCCACCAGAAGTATAACCTTGAGACCTCTACAACCTCAAAAGAAAATTCAAGTTTCTAATTTTAAAAATTTAATTAGAATATCCCTTAAAAACTAATTAAACTGGAAAAAATCCTAATTTTATCTTAATTCATATACATGTTTACAAAGCACCTCTACAGATTAAAACAACATTTATGTTCTAAAATATAAATGAGGATTTTCAGATTGGGATGTGGTTACTGACTGTTATAACGTGAGATAAAATATATAACATTAATAAAAATTGAGATCTCATCAAACAATAAATAAGCAAAAAAAAAAAAACCATTGAGTATAGCTAGATCAGTGCTGTTTGTTTTAATATTATGCAGGGTTTGAAGAGGAAAAATGAAAAGCATGTAGATACCTAATTGAGTAGTTTAGAATTAGCTCTCCAGGCTAACCTTAATAGAATTAATAATGCATATAATATATCAAGGGTACATATCTAATATAATCCTGATATAACTTACAATTCAAGCATAGAATTCTACTATAATAGGGGATTTGGGGATAGAAATGGAGAATCTTAGCACCTAAAAATTATATGACAGAGCTTCTATCTTACTGAAGAAAGAGGATAGACAATAAAAAAACAGAATTATAGTAGGGAGACTAGAAATTATGTGGTTAAATTAGTCAATCAAACTTTGTATGTCAGGTCATTAAATCAATTTTGAGTCTGAATTTAACCAGTTTAGCAGCCTACATTACTAATTATAAGGAATAACTGATGAATCTCTTCTACAATTAGGGTTGTGCATATAGCCATCAAAATGCACAATTTATTTCTTGCTGTCAATTTAAAATAACCTTTCAATAAAGCAATAACTGGCTAGTTAACATAAAAATTCCTCCCATATAATAGTAATATATTTTTTGACATAATATCAATGATTGCATAAGTCTACAATTATGCAGTTTAATATTTTTCAAGCCCTAGTTTGAAGACTGATATTTTCCCCTTTATCCTACCAAATAAATTTAATTTCTGTTTACCACCATTTTCTGTAAGTGTTTGCTATCATGGCTCTATTTTGCACTCAAGTTCCATGAAAGATATCTCTTAATGTGCATTACTTTAGAGCAATTCTATTACGTTTTTGAAAATTGCTCTGAAGAAACTTGAATATAAGTTCGATGTAGAGTATTGTCAAGTCCCCTATTCATATTCTAATACTGTATAGCTTACAGAATTAGAATAAGCAAATGACTGACTCAAGTGGTTAGACAACCATTTTCACTTCTATTCTGTGTTGATCTTCTGCACGAGCATAAAACAGATTAGTTCTACTGTTCCAATAGTACTAACATTCATCAACTACAGTACAAGTGACCAAATTATAGCAAAAATCAATCTAAATGTAATAAGGAGAGCTTAAACTAAAAAGAAAAAAGAAAAGAAAAAAAGAACTTAAAAGAAAATAAAAAAATAACTTAAAAAAAAGATCAGTGTAAGTATTGGTATAATGGAAAATGTCAAAGAGCTTGCTATATACCTAATGCATTGAAAGTTGCGATGTGTTCCCACTTATCATCCTGCTTGCTGGAGTGTGGTTGCCAGAGTAGGGCGTCAACATCATGGCGCAAGCAGAAGCAGGGCATTTCTTTAGGATCCACTATGACAGAGAAAAGGTACTGGTTGCTTCCGAGATTCACCTAAAAAATGATAAATATTTTACTCAACAAAAAATTAATAATAATGGCAAAAACTGACACACAGCACTAAGTGGCAGCAACTGTTCTAAATTTTTTATATACCTAATCTGACTGACTCCTCATAATATCCCTGAGAGAAATACGCTATTGATACATTCATTTTAAAGCTGAAGAAAGTGACATCCAGGAAATTTAAGTAACTTGTTCCCGGTCAGCCTGGTAATAAGTTGTGGAGCTGAAATCTGAACCCAGAATCTATGTTCTTAACCATTATGTTATACTACCTCTCAACTGTTAGTAAGTACTTTAAAATACAATATAAAGCACTGTATTAGTCCGTTTTTGTTGCCTTTAACAAAATACATGGAACTGTGTGATTTATAAAGAAAAAGGACATTTATTGCTTACAGTTTCTGAGGCTGGGAAGTCCAAAGTCCATCTGGTGGTGGCAACAGTGAACCAGGGGTCTCACATTGTAAGATGGTGGAAGCAGAGAGAGGAGAGGGCAGAGGGAGAGAGAGTTTCCTCTTTCTTCTCTTAAAGCCCTCAGAACCACACCCCTGACCACCATTTTTAAGCCATCCACTACAGCACGGTCCTACAATTTAATCACCTCTTTACGGGTCTACCTTACAACTACCATACCAGGATTTCCCACACTCTTAACAGTCATGGTGGGGGCTAAGTTTCTAATATATAAAACTTGGGGGATACAATTCAAGCTTCAGGGAGTTTTGGGGGCACATAATTCAATCTATTACAAGCACCAATTTTATAAGCGGAATATTTTTTAAACAAGAATACAAACATGAAGTTTACTAATGCTAACTTGTAATAACTACTAAGAACAATGATGGCTACTAGAATTTATGAGTACATTCCATATGTCAGGCATGTTATGAACATTAACTCTCCACAACCCATGAGGCTGCTATTATCTTCATTTAATAAATGAAAACACAAACTTGAAGAGCTTGAGTAACTTGTTCTAGGCCACACAGAAAAATCACAGTGCTGGGATTTGAACTCAGTTCTGCTTACAAATTATTTACTTTAGTGTACAGCTTAATTACAATAATGTTAATAATATTCATTATGTCAATAATTGTTATTGGAATATTGATGCCTAAAGATATTCATTTTAATGCAAAATCATCAAATTGAGACCTATAATTGAATTCCATCTATAGGAATACTTCTTTTAATGGAGATAGACTGCAACAATATTCTTTATTACAAACACTATCAGAGTTTAAAATGCCAAACAGACTAAATACCAACAAAAATCACATCAAATGTAGAAAATATACATAGTACTTGATGAATATTGAATCGAATTTATGAGCTTTAGAGCAGACAGAAGAAGAACAAAATGCTGGGTTAAAATAAGAAGTGGAGACTTGACCTGTATTCAATAGGAAAAGCTGTGAAGTGGCTCTCCAGCAAGAGGATTTATTGATATAGCTGTGCCAGCACAGGCTACTGGTCACAGGAGAATCCAGTGCAACCCAAATTCTGCTCCCCCAGTAATGCCTGGCTTTTGGGTAGGGCCAGTGCTTGTTCTCTACCAAAGAAGGGTAACAAGCTGGCACACACAGACAGACCACAGACTATTTCTTCTCTCTCCTTGCTCCTGATAGTCACTAGCTAAGTGAGGCTTACTTATAAAATCATCACTAGCTAACTGGTCTTTCATAAGAGGTTTGGTAGATCCGACACTGCTTCAGCTCTTTTCCCTGTGCCCCCACTCTGATACTCTCATTTGTTTATTAAGGGCTTTCACAGAAGAAAAAATTACATAACTGAAATATAATGCAGGTAGAAATTATATTTCCATAAAAATGCATTTACTTTCATGAGCCAGGCACCTTAAGAATGTACTGAGTATTATGAGTATAATAATGCAACTAACTGATCGTACTTAAATGGACAGCAGTGAGAAAAGAACAGAGGACCAGAACCACCAACCGAAAGGCTACCCACTGAGAAAGATCAACCATGAAAATAAAAGAATGGGGATGAAGGTCTCCCATTATGAGCCCATTTCTCCAACTTACATGTTCCTTCTCTTCCACTCCCATTTACCTTTCACATACCTCCTTTACAACGATTCTGTCAAAGTATTATAAATTACAAAACCAGCAATCTCACATGGTTTGCCTTTGCCATACCTTAGACATGGCATTCTGCTTGGATCCCTCTTGTCCTTTTTTACCTGATGGATTCCTACTTAACCTCTAAGACTCAGTTCAACCATTAGTTGCTCTCAGAATTCTCCTAATTTCATGGTTACACGAGCTGCTTAAACTCTGAGAACGCCCAGCATCATATATATTTTTATCAAATTATTTCTCCTACTATATATTAGATTATTAACATGCATGTATACCACCTGTGGGAGACTAAATACCATCCCCCAAGATGGCCACATCTTAATCCCATGGAACCTGTAAATAAGTTACCTTAAATGGCAAAAAGGACTTTGCAGGTGTGATTTGTCCTTGGTTTCAGGGTGTGGGCTTTTTTAGTAATACTGCCGTCCTCCAGTGGTAGGAGACTTCTAATAGTGTAGATGATTTTCTGCCCCTCCCTGAGGAATACAGATGGTATTTTGGAGGAATAGAGATGGTATTTTGGAGGAACATAGATGATATTTTGGAGGAATAGAGATGGTATTTTGTTGCCTTTCTTTTTTATATTTTCTTGTAGCTGCAGTGTGTCTTCTTTTGAGCCCTTAGAGTGCTAAGACTTGATATTCTACCCTCAGCAGTGTAGGTTTTTGTTACTTAAGGAAAATAGTTCAGGTAGCACTTCATGCTTTTTCCCACAGCAGAAGATATTCCCCTCCTCCAACTCTGCACCACCAAGAAAGCTTTTCTCTAGTCTCCTGCTCCACTCCTAGTCTTTCTTGTTAGTCCTATTCAAGGTCCAGAAAGAAGACCCTGCAAGGGTGTGCAACTACCCTTACCCAAGGGTTCTATATTTTCTTGTTAGCCCACACTAGGCCTTTAACAATTTGTTAGTAGAATCCTTCTTACCCACTTATATGGCAGTACTGTCTTCCTCCCATGATCAAGTAAAACAGTGTTCCTACCCCATCTTTCCTTGGTGGCACTTGCTTTTCCTTAGATTTCAAGCTAGTTGGCTGTCCCGTGACCTTAGCTCTCTCCCAGATTTTTAAAAGTTATAATTTTATAGAAAATCCAGGCTTTTCTTGTTACAGTAGGAGCAACAATCTTTTCAGCTTTCTATATCCCAGACAGAAGCTGAAATTCCCTTGATAACTATTTATAAACTTACTAAAAAACCTGGTACTTCAATTTATAATCAGTAGACTAGTAATAGTTCAATATCTACAAGAGGTTCCATACACACAGGTAGGCGAATTGTATACTATAGGATCCCACTCGTCTGGCTTCTGCTAACAAAATCAAGGGTAGACATCTAAACCAAAGGCAACCCATCTTTTATTCATTGATCTATGAAATGATCAACTGAAGGGTTTTCTTGAACAGGGGCTTCTCATACTGGGTGGTGGTTGGCCAGACAAAATCCCCTTCTTGGGGAAGTCTAATTGCCAAAAACAAACAATTCAAGCTAAGAAGATAGGCAGAAGACATAGCCAGACTGTAGTTAAGTAGAAACCAGGATGTGATGTAGAAAGAGATCAACAGGTAGAAGTATGCTCAGCAGAAGCAAATACAGGAGATGGCAATGTGATTGTAATGGCATAGCACTGAGGTAGAGAGCAAGAGGCACTTGGCATTTAAGAAGCAAGCAGATTACCCACACATCAGGACTATGTGCTAGTTTCTGTTTATTCCACTTCTCCTTTAGGTTTGAATTGCCAAAGCATTTGTTTTCCAGAATGACCTTTTGTACTCCATGAAATCTGAAGAGATTTTTTTCACCATTCCTTATAGTACTCCCATGTGCTCACATCCATCACTTAAGATAACCACAGGTTTTTTCTGTTTTTCTGGGTGTTTTTTTTTCCTGTTTTTTTTTTCTTCCCTGTTTCCTGTAGCTTCTTAAAGTTTAAATAACAGGATTTTGTCCAAAAGAAAAGTAAATTAGAATTAGGATTACAAAGTAAAGTAACTAAAATACCTAGTTTTGCTAGGCGAATTCAATGAATGAAAATCAAGTATGACAACTAAAAATTAACACAATTAAAGAGCACTTTTTATGATCCCATGGACAGAAAATACCAATACTAGAAAAAGAAAGATGTATGAAGAACAACAAACACATTGTATCGTAATTTGAAGGACAAAGCAGGGGAAGTGAGATATTTTCCATTATCTGGCATGAGCAATTTACCTGGAAGAATCAAGAACAAGATGTTCGAAAGATTCCTGAGTCAAGAACAGGTGCCACAAATCCCATTTTTCAACTGATAACTATTTATTCTGGTTGTGAACAAAATTCTGTTGAGTTTACAACTTGGTAGCCAAAGGCAAAATGGGTAAGCAAATAATAAAGAAAAGGATGGCTGTTTGGGCAGACACACTATCAAAGGTAAGAAGTAGGAGCCAATAGCTTATTAGCAGTGGAAAGAACAAAAACAAATCAAGCACAATCAGAAAAAAAAGTCTGAAAATGGAGTAGGGTGAGGCTACTTATTGTAGGAGCAAAAAGTCCCATTTACTTCAAATGCTTCTTAGGGTGTTATAGCAATACACAGCACGGCAATTAATGTTCACAATGATTATATTCAACCATCAATAAAATGTTTCTTTCTCTTCAGAATGCTTTATGTAAGATGGAGGGCAAATAATAAGTTTTAGTAAGATTATAAGGGGAAAAAAGGATTGTAAATATAGCTTTGGCATTTAAATGGGAAAAATGAACTTATTTAGATAATTTACTTACTTAGGAAACTCATTCCTTGTTAATGCCAAAGAAATATCTTACCGCTTAAAAAAGAATAACTCTTGAATCCATAAACCCTTTGGCCAATAAAATATGATTCCACATTTCTTCTATTCTCACGGTTA